TAATCCGAAAGCAGGTACACAATCTGGCGTCCCAGATCGCTTCACAGCACTTCTACCACCGTCTTCGTTGGGCAGTGGATGGTAGAAGGCTCACTGCCCCCCTGCAATTGACTAGCTGCTTAGAAACTGCCCAAACATTACTTCCTTAGAAACAGGATTTGCACACACACACACACATACTTACTTACTTACTTGACACAATGTGTCGCAGGTCTCAAATCACTTGCCTGCATCAAGGAACTCACTCGTCTTCAGGGAAAGTCAGTGAACACCTTAAAACAAGCCTTGAACCTAGAACCTCACTGCTTGCAGACTGACATGCGCTTGCTCAAGCTTCAGAACATTGCACACTCACTTGTGTCCCCAAGCTGCCACAAGTGTGACCTATGAGCAAAACTCTGCAGGTACACGAGAGTGATCTCGCTTCCCACTCATGTCCACAGCTTCGTGGCATGTGGTAGGACATGAGTGCCACATGCCCCTGCTAATACGTCATCAAGCTGCACATTGTAATCGGCCCTTCGAGACACACACACACCCCCACCATGCCAAACCCATGACCCCCTGACAGAAAGCATTTGATCGGATCAACCGCCAATAATTGCGACACTTTTTTCGGGAAGCAAGTCTTTGAATGCCCTTTGATTGCATCAGTGTCCAGTATATGCAGCCTGTTCCCGCATGTTGTGATCTGATGATGGCTCTACTAAATTGTGCCACATTCGGCATATGCCGTTTGCAGAGGGCGCGAAAATGTCCTATCGGATCACTTGGCTGGATGAAGCTGCTTTCTTGTGCTCTTCCCATGCCAAGCTCCGAGATGGCATCTCATCGGTTCATGAAACAGATCACTTTCGGATCGGGCTTGGAATATTTAGCTGTACGGATATCCTCGACTCCAAAAGCGAAGCTTAATTAATCTTCGTGGGCATGATGGGGGCCTGGCCTGAAAGATTTGCTGGATGCTGCGATGACCAGGCTTCCCTGCAAAGAAACACTCTACGCTTCTATGCACTGCAGGCGACGCCCCAACGCCCCAACGCCCCGGCGCCTGCGGGCCGGAAAGCTTCGGCCGGCTCCAGTCGTAATGAGACTCTTGTGGATACCTGGCAAGCATGCCTCCGTAGGCTGCTGCCCTACCGATCCCTACTGTAGGCGCTCACTGCATCTCTTGAACTTTTTTGGCCAATCTCGCATGCTAGATCTGACGACGACTATGTACCGACGCGTGCGGTACAGTGATGTGTCGATCATCGGCAGGAACATGTTGTTCCACCGAATACCGTGCGTGCTGCAAACGGAGGAAGGAAGCATCGGTCGAAGAAGCTTAATTATTTGCTAATACAGAAACTCTACAGTCTATACATACTGTTCGCCATAGCAACCGCAGGAACATCCATTCAAGTGCGAAAGCATCATGAACCCGGCGTGGCAGCAGGATAGTTGCATCATTTCAGCGCATCCATGCACAGCGGGAGAAAAGCCACTGGCACTGCCGAATCAGCCTCGCCGACATGCGGATCTCGTGATCTGAAGCCGCAACAACTATTCGGCCCCTTTTCGCCTTGTCTGCCATGCGAGAGTAGAGCCCTTCCTGCGCTGATTCAGGGAAGCCTGGTTAAAGAATCTCAAACACACCCGCAGCCTGAGCATACTTGGCAGCCTCGGGCAGCAGGCCGTCGGCTGGAGCTGACCCTGCAGAAGTGCTGTCATTCCGAATCGCCGAGAGGCAGCGCAAGTAGCGACGTAACGCCACATCCAACAAATTTGGGCCTCGACATGGCCGTGCGGCTGCTGATGCCTCCGCTGCCTCCTGCATCTGTCACTTAGAAGCGCTCCGGCAAGACATGACTGTGTCGCAAAGAGTCCTTGGCTGGAGGCCTGACAAAAACGGCCGAGCACTCCACGCCACCGAAACACCAAGAAAATCCTTTGCCGACCTGTCGTCGTCTGAATCACTTTCCGTGTCAGAAGCTGGAGGAGTTGGCCTGGAACTACAAAACAGCTACAATATCCAAGTTTTCATCTACGTGACTCCATATCTGAGGTGATAGCACCCATCGCAGCGACACTGGTCGACCAAAGCATAAAGATGCCTGAACAATGCACAATCATGCACAATCTTAGCCTCTGACAGAACAGAGGTGCTTCATAGAAGAGCGCAATCACAGAAGCAACGCACTTGGGCATATCAAAAGCCACCTGATTGCGAGGATGGGAAACACCCCAAATTCATGTCTCGCTGGCCCCTACTTCCAAGGAAGCAGAAACCACGAGCATCCTCAACAGATTTGGGTAGGTGAACCAGCCCAATAACACAAGAGGAAAGAACCGCAAGAGACAAGTGGAGCACCGAGACCAAGAAGAGTGGCTCCCATCGGATGCTAGGAGCCCCGCATCCAAAGACTACATAATTCAACCGCCAGAAATCTCGAAGGCACATTGAGGCAGTGACACCTAGCTCTCCACCATGCGCTGAAAACCGCGTCCCGGCTGGTGGTTTCGGAGACTCTGCCTGGCAGGCAGCTGGGACGAAAACAAGTTGCTTGGAACGACGTGACCCACCTCTCCAGACTTCCAGCAAAGTCCGTCGCCGCCCGGATAGCCTTCTGATAGGATCTCGCTCGAAATCGTTCCAATCACAACTGGAGTCTAACAATTGCGTCGCAGACGTGCAGTAACAACGATTCTGCATCCGAGCCTAAGTACAGAGCTCCGCATCCAGCAGCTCGCAATCGGAAGCCCTCATTGCCAGGCGTGGTGCCCGGTACTATAACAAGCAACCGGCACTGCTGCACATGCCGCTCCGACGCCGCCTCTCCGTACCGGATCGCTCCTTCCCGAGGCACGTCTCCTGAGCAGGACAGTCTCTCAGCACGCAAGTTTCACTCACAAAGACGTGCCACACCTTGCCGTTCTGCCACAAGCTCGATGGGCTCGACGGCAAGGCTGCGGTGTATCCTCATTTGAAACTCAGGGTCGTGGTGCCATGTCACAGTTTATCTGGCGCCTTCTTGCCGCGATAGGCTCCAGTTGCATTGCCTGAACTTGTCAACAATAAATAGTGAATGAGAGAGACATGCTGACCTCTAATCCGTGCTTTGACTCATCAAACCCACCGTAATATTTTTCACCAAACTGATTACCGTAGGGGTTCTTGTTGATTTGAAAGAGAATACCGACCTTTCCAGGCGTTCGACACTCGTCTCCGCTTGTCTGCCTGGCTTCCCTTCATGCGGGAAGTGCTTGGGGCATTCGTTGGTGTAAATAAGGTGCTGAGGAAGCCTAAACATAAACTAGAGTCCCCAAAAGCCTTTCCGTACACCACAGCACGTGAGGCAGCCGCAGCATTTACTGCAGCTACAGCTGTCTTTTACTCGGATTCCAAAACTCGGGTCTCATAGATTCCTTTATTATTCCTGCACTGATGAAGGTCAAAAATCATTGCACCCTGAGCAACACCTTCTGATGCGCATCCTCGGCGATCCCTTGTGATGTGCCCCTACGACCGACGCCTTCACGTTAATAAAACCCGCCACTTCTATAATATACCTTCTAAGAGATACGGAAACCCAACAACACAGGGCTTTTCATGAAACCAAGCTCCTGAATTTCCGGGGACTACTAGTGCCCGGTCGTAGATCAATAACTGGGGTTGAGTGATACTTTCGGGTGTGATTTATGCCACATAACTACCCATCCCTGTCAATTTGTACCTCTTCGCAAGTTTGGGCAACAAATCACAACCAGCCATTCCACATGTCTCGCAGCACTTCAAAACCAGCCATTCCCCATGTAGGCGCTCGATTTGGCAAGCACCAGCATCACCGGCTCAAGAAACACATCAGTCGCCTCGCAGCAAATCAAAACCCCCCATGTAGAAGCTCGCTGTTGCCAGCACTAGCTCGAGAAACACATCAAAAGTTCGCGCTTCGCTCCTCTTTTGCACCTCCTTCGAGAACGTCCATTGGCGGTTCTACTGCCCGGCCCGGAATGTACAGGTCAATTGACCCCTCGGCATTGACATCGAGGTCATAGGGCGCAGCATGCTAGTACCAAGAAAACTTTCTCTGCAGCAGCAGCGGGAGAGGCGGGTGGGCCTGAAAGATCTTGGGCGCCGATGCAGCGATTCACTTCATGCTCACTTTTACGGTCAGAAGTTCGCACTTCGCTCCTCTTTTGCACCTCCTTGGAGAACGTCCATTGGCGGTCCATACTGCCCGGCCCGGAATGTACAGGTCAATTGACCCCTTCGGCATTGCCATCGAGGTCATCGGGCGCAGCATGCTAACACCAAGAAAACTTCCCGGTTTCTCCCGCAACTTCTCCGCCAATGCTAGCCTTCTGGAAGAAGTAAAGAATACCAGGCCGAAGGCGGGATGCCTTGAGCATCCCATTGTTTTGCCTTTTCCAGCATTGGGGCGAAACCCTGGGCGAAGTGGAGCACACGTTCACGGACCTGTCTGGGCAGCTGGGGGAACCTCCTGTAAGTAAATCTCCATGACCTTGTAACTCGCCCATCTGCCACGACATCGTGTGAGCTCAGAGTCCTTCGTCTGCTGGAGGAGGTAGGTTGCTCCCCCGGCCGGAAAGAGCCGAGTTTGTGGCCTGCCCGAGGAACAACGCCCAGCCGTGCTTGCGAAGGGTCCGCGGGACCGAGGCCAGAGGCGCTCTGTTGGTGGAGGTCCTTGAAGACGAGGTCGATGAGCTCAACAAGGTCACGTGGTTCGACTCGAGCAGCTTGGTGTCGCGCCATACGCAGCCTGGTTTTTGGCTCCTGGATCCGCAAGAAAAAAAAGCTCTGGGTGTGCAGCACATCCCTGGGGGTACTAAGTCAGCGCGCTTGGCACTGGTAGCCTCACCGATAAGACCACCCCAGGCCATTGCAAAGAGCCCGGCTTCTCGTGTCCAACCCCAAACCATGCAGGCAGCCAAAACAGCGCAAAGCAGGATTGCTGGCAAAGGCACGTGATGAGAGTAGGGCTCAATGGCAAGCCACGGGAAGCCTAGGTCCCAGCTTGCTGAAGTTGCCTCCGAACGATGGGGGGAGTAGCAGCGACACCGTTGACTGTCTCAGAGTAGATCCAGTAAGGCCTCCCTGCGTCGAAAAGCTCATGCCCAAAAGCAACGAGGGCAGTGTTTAGGCCAAGCACATCGGGAGGGGCAGCAGTGACGAAGCCGTCAAGGGAGCGCCCACGTTCTGCGAGCCAGTTGTCGAAGTCAGCGAGCAGACGTGCTCTGTTTACACGTGTGCGGGCCAGCACTGGCTGGGTAGCTTTTTGTGATTTTTGTGCTGCGGAAGTCCAGCATGGCAAACAGGGGTCCTCCTCACACAGCTTTCGATCGAGAGACCCGAAGGGGCCGGAGTGCACCCGGAGGGTTTGGAACCTAAAGCCTACAAGCAGGCAGGACAAACGGAGCCAGCTTGCAGAGGGCCGGCCAAGGTCCTTGAAGGTCCGAGAGTCTGCAGGGTTCCCTGACACGGCCGCCGGCTGTGTTAAGGCGCGTGGCTCCGAAGACCGGAGCCGGGTACAGGCCCCCAGCGGGAGGGTGACAGCCGAATCGACAGCGTGCTCGAAACGGGCGTCGTCGCCGCGCCTCGCAAGGTCCCTCAAGGTCTTGAGGAAAGCCTTTGTTTCGAGCAAGTTTATATGAGCGGACGCACGCCACAACCAGGCTGGGGAGGTACCATCGACGGGACGTCAGGAGGTCGTTCACACCTGAGCGAGGGACCGAAAGCACCTGGAGTGGAGCTCAGAGACGCGAGGCGAGCGAGGCCTGAGCAGCTGATTCGGAAACCCAGTCCCCCTTCAGCAAAGCGGTAGGAAGGCCGATTTGCAGCAAGCACAGCTCGGTGTCACCGGCACAGGAGATCCCCTTGCAGAAGCCACTTATGTCGGTGATCCCAGGCAAGTTTCGCAGGTAGCTCCAAAAAAGGACGGGCTCTCGCAGAAGAGGTCAGGGGTACCAGAATGGCTGCAGCGGCGTTAGCCCGCCAGTCCAACCAGAGCGCGCCCAGGCAATCGACAGCAAAGCGAGACGCAGCAGCAAAGCGAGAGGAGGATTCCTGCTTCTGCTCTCCCTTGCCCAGTGGGGATGAACAACAGCAAGCTTGTTAACCTCCCAGTCTGCAGCATGAAAAGCAGCCAGTCATAGGCATCGAGGCGTAAGAGGTCAAAGAGGAAGTGCTGCGGTCGAAAGCTGGGCCAACACAGAAGCCATGCAAGGTAAGGGCCTGTGCAATAGAAGCTGGTCCTGGCCCAAGCTCCAAGAAATCAAAAAACTGGCCAACCGGCTTTGCCCGGGCGGGGACCATGACGACTCCAACGGCTTCAAAACGATGCTCAACGGCAAGGCCGCGCCGTTGAGCTTCGATATGATGAGCCCGTGCAGAGAGATAGGCAGGGTCATCAAGAGGTCTGGGCACAGGAGGGGCACCGGCGGAAGCGAACGGCTCGAGCCAGGGAGTCCAACATGGTGTAGAAGCCCTTTGCGTCGGCCGCGAGCAGATGGCAGCACTTGCGAGGCAGCGGCCCGCACGTAGGCACCTCTCTTCATAGAGGCATCGGAAGCGAAGACCTCAGAGAGGAACGGAGCGGCGACGTTGGATGCCAACATGGGCGCAAGTAAAGCGACGACACAGAGCTCCTGGCGGACCGCGGGGGGGAGGTGCACCAACCGAGAGCCTTCGCTGATTCCAAAAAGCTTGCTGAGGCACGACACGGCCAGAGAGAGGGTGAGATGCTTTGGACGGTGACCGGAGTCCCAACCTGCGCGATACCGGATCGGACAGCAGCAACAGAGGAGTCGACCTGGGCGCCGCCGATGACTAAGACATCTTCGCCAGGATGATCTTTTCAGAAGCGGTGGGACCGGGAGAGGCGGCATGTATCGGTCTGGCGAGACCTCAGGCTCCTTCTCCTGGAACCTCTCGGCCGCGATAACAAAAGCATCGTCTATGATGACACCAGACCATGGTCCACTCTTAGCTAATGGTTTCCCTGCGACAGTATGCACAGGCCTGTTCGGGTCAAGCAGAGCGGCCGGGGCGTGAGGGAGGACTTTGGCCTGAACGGCCCAGCTCGAACAACGTACTCCTCGAGAGAAGCTTCACAGCATTCCTCAAAGCTCGCTCGGGGGTGCACGGCACTGGGTGTAGAAATCCGGTCGGTGATCTGCCACAAGCCTGTGAGTGTAGCGGGGAGGGTCAGCCTCGTAAGCAAAAACCGGCAGGCAACTGGTGGGACAATGCTTAGAGGCGGCACTCGTAGCTGTTTTCGCCCGGCAAGGGGCCTGGACGGAGCTTGGAGCAAGGACCGAGCGTCTCAAACCTCAAGAAGCTTCAGCAGCATGCCGGGGTCCTCCTGATCTGGGGCTGCCGCGCCCGTGCCTCCGAAAGTTTCAAGGATGGTAAGCAAGACGCATGCTAGTCGGCAGATAAGGCGAGGGGTCCCAATGGTGCCGAGAGCCTGCTGCTGAAGAACTGCAAGCTGGTTGCTTATTTTTGCGACTACCTCCATTACGGGGCCTTCTGCTGCGCGATTTGGGAAACTGAAGGTCGTTTTGCCTTGGGTGGGCGCTTTGCCACCTTGCCTTCGGCAGGGATAGGGCCCTGCTCCGACACCGCTGTTTGATACCCGGAAGCTAAGGCCTCGGCAACGTGATCCACTGCCTTGCAAGTGTCAGCGCCTCGGAGGCCAACCGGACACAGGGTGGGGCGGTCCTCGACGAAGAAGACACCATCGAACACATCCAGCTCAAAAGAGCTGAGGAGCATCGCACCGCGTGGCATGTCTAAAAGCAGAGCGGGGACGAGGCAGCGGGCACAGCTGAACCCAGTCCAAACTGTCAGTCAGGGCAATTCCCGTGGCTTGGATGGTATGCGAGGGCCCGAAGTCCACCGGCCCCCACATCTGCCCCGTGGGCTGCCAGCTCGTTTTGCTCGAAGAAGTGGCTCGGAAGGCACAGCAGAAAACCCTCTTCCCGTAGCATCAAGATGTAGCTGACACATGTCTGCTGTCCCCCTCCTCGCCGGGGTAGGGTGGCCATGCGAACTCTAGCAGCTCAACGGAACCGGCCGAGGCAGGCACTCAGGCAGAGCAATCCATCACTGAGGAAAAGGAAAGGAAACCCCAGCACAGAAGGCCCGGCCTTCCGCATCCAAAGGAAAAGTGAGAAATGGACCTGGTGTCCGAGAGGATGCCCGGTATGGCCTTATACTCACCGAAACTGCGCACAACACGAGGGCACACAGCGCCACCGACCCGCAGGATGCAGTCGAAGCGGTTTGAAATAGGAAGGTGAGGGGACTGACTCGATCGGTCCTTGTGGCCTTGCAAAACCTCAGCAGCCTCCTGACCCGCTTTCTACGCTCGACGGATGCGATCTTCACTTGTGAGAGGACAGCAAGATTTCAGCGGCGGCCTAAATCCAAGACCAAGGTCGGGATGACCGAAGGTAGGCTTTCGAAACCTACGGGCTCAAGGCCTCAGGCTCCGGAGAGGTCAGGACGAACGGAGGTGCGGTAGGCGGAAAACGACGGCCTGTGCAGCTGGGTGCGCTCGTGCTCGGGGATTCCTCGCACACACAGGAACCGCGTTGCACACGGGTGGGAGGGGAAGCAGGTGCGGATGAAGGGCCGGGGCCCAACAGGCAGAGAAGAAGCCTCGACCACCACGAAAGAGCCGGTAGAGCTGCGGCGAAGGTTCCTCTTCCTCCACGGTAACCCTAAGACCCCTGCTTACAACCGTCACGGCATGCAAGTAGCCCCTAAGCTTATCCTTCCTACGCCTAAGCTGGTGGTTTAGGGAAGGCTCGGGCTCCGGGGCGGCAGGCTACGCAAACCTGATCGGTCAATGCACAAAGCAGTACAGTCCAGTAAGAGCAGTGGCAGCCGAGCCGACCAAGCAGCCCAGAAAGAAGCCGGCCAACACAGCCCCAAAAGATGGAGACTGGCAGTGCAAGGGACACTGAAGACCCCGCCATTTTGTCGCGACTCCTTCACGGAGCAAGTCAAGTCCTGCAGCGAGCCAGCCAACCATCGACTAAGCTCACTCCTGAAAGATCTTGGGCCCCGATGCAACGATTCACTTCATGCTCAATTCTACGGTCAGTGAGTCAACCACTCGAGACACAGATCAGTACAACATATCAAAAGCAGCCTGTCCCCATGTGGACGCTCGATTCCACATGAAACGATCGGCTGGCACGAAAATACGAGACCCCAGTGTGACGCTGCAGAAGCAAGCATGCAAGACGTTATCACAGTTGTGGATCATATGGGTTGCCAATACGTTTCCGCACGGTGACGCGGCATTGCTACGACTCTTGGCGGTGCGCAACAACGACTTAGGCCAGCACCCAGTGGCAGTCATAGCATGCTCAAACCAGCCATTCCCCATGTAGGTATGTCTCTGACTCTCTGTCCTCTGTATGTGTATGTGTGTGTGTGTGCGCATGGGTGTACCCAGCGCCAACCAGTGTGACCGAGACTGGTTTGGATGAGCTGGACCTATAATCAACAAGGCCACGTGATGAGCTCCGAAATGGACAAGCACCCGTTCGAGACACACATCCGCAGCATCAACACAACACATCGAAACCGGGCATTCCCCATGAAAACACTCGGTTCCACAAGCACCCGTTCGAGCCACAAGTGGTATCACGGCACATCCAAACCGGCCATTCCCCATGTAGATGCTCAATTGCACAATCACTCGTTCGAGACACACACATACGTAGCATCATTGCGTTGCAGCGGAATCGACACTGGGGACTATGCTGGAATGGGGCCTGGGGTTTGTCAAGGTTACGGCTCAGGTTTCAGGACGTTGGGAGTGTAGTACTTGATTTCAAAGGCTTCCGTATCCAGAATCACGGTATCATGAAGTGCAATACCCAGGTCAAACAGCTTAAGACCATGTGCTCCCGCAAAGATACAACATCAAGTCCATTATTAACGTATGTCCATACCGATTGCCGGGACATGTTCAGAATGGCTTCCCCCCAGTGTGCACGATTGTGCACGCGCAAAGGTATGACTTCACACAGGGCGGTACGACTCAAAACACACCCCCAGTTCGACTACGACTACGACTACTGCCACTAGTATCACTACTACCACCACCACCGGTAGTACCACTGCAATTCGTAACACCGTCACCACGTAGTGACGTAGTGGCGGCAGCGTAGACATGCCTAAGCTTTCGCGATCGCAGTGGCTCGGTTTGAGGGTGGGATTTGATTTTGCAGTGTTTCTATTGCGGCGGTCACCCCGGACACGAATGAAAAGCACAGATAAAGCAGGACCGAGAACAGCTTGTGGACACGACCGGCAATAGAGGGCCCTTTTTGTTGCTGCTGCAAGGCCACGTTAGCAACATGCAAGACCGAACTGAAAATAGTCTAACGATCGTTTGATCTTTAGAGCTGCCCCAGCATTAGTCGTTAGTCTTGTGCTGTTGGCGCGGCCTGGCTGCTCGCGTCTACGAGAGTCCAAAGGGTGAGACCTCGGAGGGCACTTGCAGTTTCCTGTGGCTGTGCCGCCGGCCTGGCTTGAGGATTGGGCAGGAACCGTCCATGACCGGCGCTGTGCCTTTGGCACAAGCAGCCACTATGTCTCTCACCTTAGCTGCGCCGAGAACCTCGATGAGGCCAGGTTAAGCGGCTAAGCCTGAGGATTCTCGCAGCATCTTGCGTCTCCAAAGGTATGACCTGGGCTTCTTCAGCATTCGCTGTGCGTCCGAGTCAGCCTTCGGTGATTAAGAGTCCGTCCAGGGCCTCACGCGATCCGAAGAGTCCAAGCGGTCCCGGGGCCTGACAGCAGCTGACATCCAGACACGACATGACGGAACGAACGAAGAAAAGCAAAGGCCAACGGATTTCTCACTCAAACTGGAAGCTTCCGAGCGCCTCCCCACGAGCTCGCAGGCACAATTTCGCCTGAAGGAATCCGGCGAGGTGGCTGACATGTGTTGAACGTGCCGTGCTCAGGACTCCACTGGAAAAGAAACCACCTGATCACCACACAGACTGCCGGTTTTGTGCACTCAGCCTGCTGTCCTCTGACATTCCTTTGAGCTCGCGACAGAAAGCGGTGCAGAACGTTCTGCAGTCGCTGGTCTCCGGTCCTGTCTGCTCACGAATCAGGCCAACAGACGAAAGTATGAAGAAGTATGCAGCATCATCAGCATCAAGCCTGGACTCGAAACGGCCTGGCACGCGTCAGGAGAAGTCTCAAACGAAGCACGTGATGCAGCAGACGCTGAGCGAAATCGGGCCAGGTGCACGGCTCGAAGGGGACACTCGTGTCCTTGCAAAGCCGGGAAGACTGCAGTTGCACGGAACAGGTGGGCATTTTCCACTGAGATCCAATCCCATTCGAGTTCACTTTTGCCGGGCGCTTCCTTCACCTTAGCATGACACCACCGAGCTGCTCTAGCTAAAAAGATAGCAAAAGATCGTCAGGCCGCCACCCGGAGCCGTGGCAGCAGCTTGCGCCGGAAATACACCTTGTCAGCCTGCACAGGTCAAAATAAGGTTCAATCATGCGGCTCTGCCTTCGCTGGACGTGTATTTGACATGAAAAGTTTCGACCAGGCTGGGAGGGAAACACTGACTGACTTAGAACGTGGAGAGGCGAACGTTCGAGCGGTGGGCTCAGAACCCCACACATCTGGTGTGGAAGTACTCAAAATCACTCTGGTAGTGTTTCAATCTCAAAGGCGCACGGGATTATAAACGGGTCGCTGCCAAGCTGTGCTATGCCACCATTGACATCGATTGGGGAAGGGCTCCGTCGCTTGGAGATCGCAGGTAACTGGAGGCGCACAGATCTGAATCATGGCGAGACCCAAGTATTGAACTGTTGATTGAAGCTCCAACTACCACGATGTATCGTGAAGGAAGGATCACTTCACCATGAGAGGCTTGGACAAAGCATCCGGTGCATGCCCCCTCTTTGAGAGATTGGTGGGCGAGCATCTCCAGCAGGTCCTCTGGTTCGAGTTCAGTCACTGTTTGTTGACGACCTAATTTCCCTCCAAGGAACCTACGGCACGCTCGAAGTGCGGAGGAGCCAAGGAGACTTCAACCAAAGGAAGCCGTTGAAAGGAGCTACTTCCATCTGGCAGGACATCTGAGAGAGTCGGCGCTTGCCAAGGTTGAGGATATGTGGAAGCATTGCAGGAAAACGCAGGACGGTAAAGAGTCCTCCCACCTGTTGGGGCGATGTCGTGAGCTGGATAGCTAGCTCTGACACGGCATCGAGCTGCTCGGCGAACTCACTGTGGCCAGGAGGCGATAGAGGGCGTCTCGCGCAAACTGTTCAATCGGCTGCGAAACGGAGAGACATCCGAGCAAACTGAGCAACAATGCATGCAAGGTGTCGACAAAAACAGCCACCCAGCGCGTCGCAAGCCATGCTACGCCTCTACCCATATCTGGCAACTTGAACTGATCCGCGGCCCACAACTCTTCCAGTAGAGAAAGCATCCACGGAAAAGCGAGGCTTGATGTCTAACAACGGCTGTCTTCCGGGTAATGTCACCTCGAGTTGCCTGTCGCAGGATCGTGGTCGTACCTGCGAACGGCAAGATCTTCGGGAAAGCCAGGGCTTCGTCCGCGAACGGGTACTGAAAGCCTTCAGAAAAGAAATAGGTGGGCTGGACGCCGATCTCCTCGAAGGAGTCCGTCGGTTGCGATCGGCCACAACCAAAAATCGGGAACGCGCGGAGACCTTTCTCATCCAACTTCTGGCCAGCAAGGCTTGAAGGAGAACCCAACCACCAAAACTGCAACTCTACAAACTGGAAACAAGCATCAAACCGAGCAGGGATTGGCAAAGTCTCCACAAGTGACTGCTCAGAGGCAGTCTCTACCCGGATCAACCGAATTGTCCGAGAAACATGCTGTGCAAGGGCGATTGCTGCTGGGCAGTTGCGCCCCAATGGCCCCGCGAAGCCTCATTCCGGTACACTTGCACGCCTCTGGCCACACCACGAAGTAACGATCGCTCTCGACATGAACCGTGGTCATGGCATAGCCTGCTAGCTGAAGCCTTGTGCAGTGTCTCTTGTTGTTGAAGCCTCGTCGTGCAAAACGTATCGTTCAACACTTTAGCTTTGGCCGAAACGACCGTCTTGCTTCCACATGATTCATTAACGTGATGTTATGGCACGGTTGAAGGCTGAAGCTGTGCTTGGTGAGTGCAACAATCGATTCAAACCCATGAGGTTAAGGCGAAATGCTAGTTAGTGCTTCTCTTGTGTGTGCGCGTGCGCACTTATGCTTGAGTGCACTGTCGCGCCACTCTAACTACTGCCTGTGTCTGCACTTGGTGTACTCCCGGTGGTGGCTCTTGTTGCTGAAGGTGCAGCTGCGTGTAAATGCACGGCTTGTAAATGCACGTGTGCTTGTCCAACTTGGCTTTGCGACGTCGATTCGCACCCCTACTCCCGGAGGCAAAGCCCACCTTGTCCAAGCTTTGCCATCCAACCGAACCATGCATGTGAAGCCACCCCTGCCAAGCAAAGATGAGAATAGATTCACGCGGAGTCTGACATGAAGAAGCCTTCTGATACTTCTTGGAAGTCAGGAATTCCCGCTACTTGGAGCTCGCTTTGAGCCGCCCACAAATCACTCAGGAACTTCTCTGCATGCATCGGCTGCCCTTGAACAAAAAAACACGAGCCATTCGGGCACCTATTCGGGTCACAGGCAGCAAAGAGAGCCACTGACCCACTATGAAGAATGACCTGAGTCACTATGCCATATCACCGTCACACTCAGCCAAAATCTCGGACTCATGAAGGATCTGTAGAAGTGGGGCGCCTCGATGGTGATTTCCATACTGTGCCTCACCTCGCCGTCCGAAACCTGCAAAACCCACAAACTTCCGTCGAATCACCCCATTGTCAGCCCACTTGGGGCCGTGCGAAGAAGCGGAATCTGTCGTATCTCAATGCCTCCGACATCGTCAAGGTTGTTGCTCTCTGCAAACGCAATTCCATGAACCGCCTTCACTGCTCCTTGCGTCGTCGCACCATTCAGGAGCCATTTGGCATGTGCCTTGCCCGCGGCTCTATCCGGGCTGAAGCACAGTGACAGACCGGCCTGAGATCGCGCTGAGATGATGAAGCGGCTTGACTGCATCCCGGCATTCTGTACACGAATATAGAGGACCTGAAAGAGACAGTGAGCGATGCTGTACCAAGCCAGCCGAAGAAATGTGGAAATGTGTGGCATGTAGTGAATCCGTCGTTGGCTGGGCTTTCATGTGCGTCGATCAGAGGCTTCACGGAAACCTTTGGTGTAGGATTACGTCGCGATTCTGCTGCTCCGGTGGCTTCAGATTGAACATCTCAGAATGACCAGGCTGCTGCTTGGGTGGGACAGTGCTGCTTTCCTTCAGACTGACCGCCGAGTAGCAAAGGGTGACACCAATGTCTTCTTCAGGCCACCTACTACCTCTGAATCAACCCAGGTTAAACAAGCCCGCTCAGGCCTAATCTCAGAGCTTCAAGCATCTACCTCCTCTGGGATTAGAAGTGCTCATGTTTCAAGTCAAAACGGATTTGAGCATGAGGGCGAGGGTCGGACAGGAGGAACTCCTCGCCCAGCGACCTCTGTCGGGCTCCCAAACAAAAACCCCTTCATGCTTCTTGACGACTTGGGGCCCAAGCGGCCTCTGCAGCACGACGGAACACGTTGGCACCGGGCTCCAACAAAATGACGGCCTCGGCCCTGAGCTCGCGGCTCTCGGGCTTGCGTCTCGCAACCGCGACTCTCTCGGCTTCCAGCGGACCCGTCGTCCAACCATCCGGAAAGTCCGGACTGCGGAGCCCAAAACAGCAAGCAAGCGCCCTATGCAGCAGGGCGCCTTGAAGACATCACAAAGCTGGTTGATCCAGACAGCTTCGACACCTCATGCGAGAACGACACCATGCAAGGGATACTAACTCTGACGTGTAATGGTTGCTAGTCTCAACAGAACGTCACGGCACACCCGGAAGAACATGCTTTTTCATGTAAACTCTTGCACACAACTTTGACCGCGGATGCCAGCACAGAATGTACTGTTAAACAACTATGTCAGCATAAGTTGCGTAGATCCCCAGACGGTGAAACCTACGCACGACCGCGACGAAGGTGGCATCCCGACGACCATCCCGACGACCACGATGACCAGGACCGGCAACACCAATCGTAGGGATTTCGAGACCACACCGTGTGGCCCTGCTAGGACTCTGAGGACCTTCAACGATTCGGAAGCTGAAATGAGCCCGATTCCCAACCAAAGACACTCCAAGATGTGCTTGGGACTTTGGCGGGAGCAGGAATTTACAGTATATGTATGTATGTATATACATACATACATACATACATACATACATACATACATATATATATATATATGTATCTCTCTCTCTCTCTCTGTCTCTCTCTTTAAACCTAGCGTAAAAGCCCCAGAATGCTACCACACCCCGTTGATGAAAAAGCCAGCAGGCGGTGTCTTTGTCATGGTGTTTACGCGTGATGTTTCAAGCATCATTCGCAAGCATGATGCATGATAAGATGTGTCTGAGTCTAGGAAGCCATGTGTACTTTCGAGTTACACGAATCTTCGGATAAATCTGACACTCAGAAATTCCAAGCGAAAGCTGCGCTGCAGCAGGGGGACCGTGCAAGTTGCAAGACCCGTTGCCAACATCTGAACCGCAGACCTGTATGACCTGTGAGCTGCACGGGGTGTCCTGCCTCACTCTTTTAGGATTATGTCGATCACCGCCTTCTTACACACGTGTGGGATTTGGGTCGGCGAGCGGGTGCTAGCTGCAGATCAACATGTCTGCAACTGACCAGGAGGCGCAACAACACTACTCCTTGCTGCGCGTCAGCCTGTGCCGCAGTCTGTGCCACTTTTTCAAAACTCAAACGGTGACTGTGACCTCCAGTGGGGCCCCGCAGCCACCTTCACCATTGGAAAGAGACGTTGTCGAATTCCCCATGTTTTGCTGACTGCTTCGAGTCACAACCTCCTGCGACCCCTTTGAGCATTGGAAAAGAACTTCAACATCCCAGCGTTCTCACATCTTAAAGCCGCTTACAAGCCGGGATGGACCCAGGATGGACGGATCCCTGCAAGGACAATTCGACGACCAAACGAGCCTTCGCCGTGCCATTACAAAGCTGAGATCTCCAGCACCGAGGCTGCCACGGAAACCAAAACTGCCGTGCTGCTTCGTCTCACACTGTAGGCGAATACCTGACACAAACGGGTTGTGTGGTTTGAATCGGAAGAGGTGCTGACAAAACCAATTGCCTGGGACCGATTGCTGGGCAACACCTGCTCGAAGTCATCGCCCTGAACACAGACTCCCGAGATCATATGATCATGAATCTAGAGCATATACAACCCTCACTGGCACTGGTTCACTAATGTTGCACTGGAGAACCTGTCACAGGCCTCGAGCAGCTGCTTTGTCCCCTGGCTATCCAGAACCGCTCGAACCTGACAGCTGGGCCCAGAAAGAGAGAATGCCAACGACAGCTTATAGCCACGAACCGACAACGGTACATGAACTTCAGCATTGTGGGCCTGCTCAGGCTGCACAAATCCAGAAATCATAAAAAGACAATCACGGGGCCCGGGCCGTTGCAGTGGCAGCGAGGTAAAGGAAGCAGGGCAAGCGACAGGCTATCAGCCCGACCTGAGGCTTACAGCCACTTGGAACTTGATAAAACAATGCAGACATCTGGCGCGTGGATTAGACTTCGTGGATGCTCTCGCACCTCTTTGCAATTGGTGGCCTGACCAGAAAAACCGATGGGGGTGGTTGCACAATCTATCCCCAAACGGCTGCCATTTGTTGCTGGCATGCGCGCTGCGATTGCCTACTGTCTGCTCTTTGATGTCTGGCGACGAGCTGACAGCCCTGAAGGCCGTGCAGTCTCCACCCTCATGGCCCGCATGGCCCTTGCCATTGAGTCTTGTTACGGCAGCCTTCGGCGCTTGCAGAAGCTTGAAGAGCTTCAGCACTCTCCCACCTCTCTCCCTCCCCTCTCCCCACTCCCTCGTCCTGCCTCCTCTCTCCACTCCCTCTTCCGGCCTCCTCTCCCCTCCCTCCCCACCTCTCCCCCTCCTGGGGAAGTGGCAAGGACTTTAGACTTTCTCCTCGATCTTTCCACCAGTCATGGAAAGTAAACACTTGGTGCGGAAGTTGTTTCTGGTTTCCAAGATCGCTCCAGCATGTTCAAGCTTGGGTGAACACGCCGTGGCCCGCAAGTTGACTCTGCGTCGTGAATCGCAAGACCTGCAACACCCCAGGATCTATATAGAAGATTATAGAAGCAGATTCGTAGTGCTGCCGTTCCACACCTCGTTGCTTGTCGCGCCTGCTGTAGCCTCTGAAGAGTCGGCTTGAGTCCGCGTCGTGGGAAGAGAGAATCCGATGGCACGGATCCGGGGATGAAGCCCAGCTGTACGATGCCGGGTCAGGATGACGATGAGTGTCAGCTACTAGATGCACCTTGCCATTGCAAGGTGCAGGCCACACGCTGCAAACCACAAACAACAACATTAGCTTGTCCTTCCCAATGGAGCTTGCAGACAGCGTGACCTGAGCAGAACACTTTCGGTGCAAAGTTCTTTGCGATTTTTGTGTGACACCTCGGTCGGCTGTAGGGGACCATCAGGAATCAGGACACGAAACTCCCGCCACGTTTCCTCGCAGCTTTTGCGGAACACATTTAATGAAATCGTTTGGGGGAAACTCATTGGGCATCTGCCAGACCTTCCACGAGCCAGCTGAAAATGCAGCTGGTGGCACTGAGGAGTGAATGGCAACACCATCCTAGCAAGGGCGCCATCAGCCATGGCAACTCCATCGAAAGCCATCGGCCACAGCTCACACGGCCTTCAAGGTCATCACACCCGTGTCCGTCTCTGCGGTGATCCAGAACTCTGTGGCCTGATTAGAACATTCGAGAACAAGACAGAGACAAAGACAGAGACAAAGACGGAGACAGAGAGAGATGTCTAGGGAAGGTCGAAAGGACGGTGCTTACGTGCCGCCAACAAAAGTCAAGACGATTTCACAGGTTATGTAGGAGGCCCGGTCACATCTGTTGAAGGCCTCGGCAGTGGAGATGTTCGAGTTTCGGCAAATCCGAACATAGATGCTCTCCTGCAACAAAACCGGGGAGCATCACACTTTGTTTTGGGTAGACGGAGCCAGGGCAGGACTCAGGACGCAGGGTCTCCTCGCTCCGCGAATCGCCTGCAGCCATCACATCTTTGCCTGCAGCAAACTCGGACACCCCGGCCCACGGTCGGCTCCGCGGAGTGTCGGCCGAGTGCCCTGCTTGAGATCAACAAGGCTGCTCCACTTCCACCTTGAAAAATCAACTAAAGGGGATCCCTGCAAGGCCAATGCGTCACAGATATCAGATGTTGCCTGGAGGCACCTTACCTCTCCAACGATTGAGAATGGAAGCCTGGCACGAGAACTGAGCGTCGCTTGTGATGACTCTCTACAATTGTCTTGGGGTTCTCAAGAACAACCTGGGGCCGTCGGACACAACATGAGAAAACACACATCTGCTGAGTAGCAGCCTGTGTTTTTCTCCATGCTGCCTTCACGGTTCACTTATTGGTTCCCACCACGTCAATGTTGAACTGCACTACTTGTGTCCTCTTTGTCGATGTAAGTGTCAATCTGGCTCCAACCATTCAGGGCCAAGCAAACCAGGGAAAACATCCTGCACCGGGCTTCCCTGAATCATCGCGAAGGACACTGGATACATCGCTTATCACTGGAGGTTCCGCGTTGACCGTCAGCTGTACAGTTGCAATCACCATGTTTTCTTGCATTGTTCGCATGCAAGCAATACTTCATCCGGATTTCTCTGGCAAAAATCCTCTGTAGTGGCAGTCCTTCCAAGGCCATCACGGCGCGACCATAAGATATTTTTTCGGTGGCGGGTTTATAGGTTTGGTCGGCTCATCTCTATCGGGGTTCGATTTAGCTTTGAGTGTTTAGGCTGCCTAAGCTGTTTTCACCGAAATCAAAAACTGTGAAGGAAGAAAACTGTGTGCTGGCCCGGATGCGGCCGAGGCGTGCATTCGCATGTACTCAGAGCCGACCCCCACAAGACTAACCCACGTCTGATGTTTCTGATGAAAAGGGCAGAGCGGAGCACACAATGTCACGAGGGCTCAAACATGGGACGTCATGGGGCTACGGACAGAATCCACTCTGTCCCATACTACCCCGAACCCTGTAGAAGCTTGGAGGTCACGCTGCCAAGGGGTCGAAATCCTGCAAACATGCGCTGGCCTGTAGAGTGTCTGTAGTCAGCATTGCCGACAGCGTCTGCCAAAGGACATGCATCAAGGACATCGGAAGCTGGAGATTCCACCGGCGCGCCAGCTCTGAAGCATCAGCAGCAACAGCCGTCACCTGCGGCGCTAAAACATTCTGCTATGTTGCCGACATGTGCTTACAGCACTCCGAGTAGCATCCACATACCCACAACCATCTTGCTTTTAGACCCCCCCCCTATTTATACATTCCCTCCTGGGGGTTGCCTGAGGCAGCCAGAAATGTATACAGGGGTGGTTTTGATGCGTGTGATTTTGCACGAATCGTGTTATGGGACATGTTACTCTCGGCATCTCTCGGCAAATGCTTCGATTCTTTCTCACATTACCCCACTCGTGCTCCCCATGTGAGACTTTGCAGACCGCCCCCCCCACCCCCCCCCAAAGACCCTGCCCGGTTCGAAACGGACCCGCTAGCCTTCTACTACATATTGCACCTGTCCGAGGCTAGTCTGGTGTCCAGGTATGTTTTTCTGTTTTAACGAGCGCGGGAATGTATACACCCCCCCGGCATAATTTGTCCCTGTTCCCGGTGATCCCTGGTTTGCATGGAGGGTTTTTAATCATAGTCATAGTACTAGTTCGCAGCAGTTGTTATAGTTTTCAGGAGAGTGTTCCAGGCCCCGCACCAAGCAGGTAAAACGTTTGCACACCCCACCCTGCATCATACATTGCTTTCCGCCCCCGAAGACCCTGCAGAAATTTCAAGTCTCCAACAAACATCTACTTCCCATCGGAAATCCAATCCCCTCTTGTATACATTTCCCCGCTGGGCGTCGGCTGGAATTCAAGTACACCCGCCCGTGTACATTATTTGGGCATGGGGATGCATCCACAGTCGGCATCTAGCGCAGCATGAGTGCGGGGAAGTCCTGATGTCGCTCTGCTGCATAGAACATAAAAGCTCTGATTGTTCCAAATTCGCAGTTCTTAATGACTGTCCACACACTCAGCGATCAAACATCGATCCATCTGTGGGCGTCAAACAATTCTTGAGAAAAAAGAATGAATGAATGCAGCACGACTCAATCCGCTTCTAGGTTCTTTCCGAGGTCTGTTGAGGTTTTTGAAGGAAGTGGCAGCAGGCACCGTAGCCACAAGTGACACAAGCCCAAAAAGACCGCGCTGAGACAGGAAAGGGACAACCTAATGGCACCCTTTGCCACTGCGAGTCGGAGGATGCGGGGGCACCCGCTGGCAAGGAGAGAGTGGAGAAGGCAATGCGGGCAATTTCTGGTCGCAAATTTCTGCCCAGGTCTTCACCAAAGCCGCATCAGCAAGACACTAAGTATCACAGCAGCAAAACGTAACAAGCTGGCACCGTCACGTCGACCCCATCTTTCACCAGAATCCTGCGAGTGACGGGACAGCGAGCGAATGGAAGGACGGAAGAGGCAATGCCGCCAACACCATCGAGTCCTTGCACCATCGCAAGCCGCTCCGCTGAGAAGACCTGGAAGCACTAATGGAGAAAACCCGGCAACAACAAAAAAAAACACATCCAGCCATGTTGATGGCCTGCATGAGGCACAGCCTGAGTAAGATGCTCATAGCTCAATGACATGCCGATTTCATCTTACACAACGCTGCCCTTAGCGCATGGCTGGGGCTAAGAATGGTCCCGGGTAGAGCCGGGCCACACTGATGTACACCGTCTAAGCCAAACAGACACAGGTGTGGCAATCAGACTATCTAGCCGACGACTCAGGCCATTGGCCCCTGAGCCAACGATCATGATGCAGAACTTCTGCTCCAGCCGATTCAAGTCTGCATGCACTTGCAGCAGATCAACCTGACATCTTTCGACACTGCTAACCCTCCCAAAGCTGAAAGCACAGAAAGCACATGCCAGTGGTTCGAGGACGAGCTCGCTGTTGCTTCTCTCCACTTTGATGCCATGGCCTCCGGCGGCCAGCACGAAGCACAGAGATGCACAGAGCATAAGCGAAGCCAGAGTCCGGGTGCAAAGCCGATGCAAGAACTGGCGTTCAATGAGGAGCTTGAATCGACTCGGTAGAACTCAACCTTCCAAAACACCCTTGGAGCGCCCGGACGCTCAGAGCTCGCATCAGGGCCTCGAAATGTCCGCTCAGCGGGAATGCCACGAGCCTCAAATCCTCGCCCGAAGTGCCCGATGGAAGGCAGCAAAGACAGAGCGAGCGAGTCAGAGGTAGACAAGCAGCGAGGCACAAACACAAATATCCGAAAACATAGCCGGAGAGAGAAAAGAAAAACTATTAAAAAAATTGAATTATAAGTGAATGTGACGGAGGAAAACGACACCGAGAGGGAGAAGGAGAAGGAAACAGAAAAGGAGACAGCAAAGAAAGGAACAGGCCAGGAACAGAGACAGACTGAGACTGTGACGAACAAACGGATGGGTCGTCCTGAACCAAGCGCAACCCAATAGTCTGAGGGTGAATGGGCTGAGCGTTCTCCTACGGATGACCTGCCAAATGTGGAGAGGGTATGAACACACAGAGGGGGTTGAGGATGCGCGGTCAGTGGAAGGATCTCCGGCCAGCATGATTGGCAAGGCACGGCGCGAAAACTACCCGATGTCGCGCTTCTGTCGCCAGCCCAGCACGAACGTGTCGATTGGCAAATCAGACAGTCCACAGCAGCCCCAGAGGAGAAGCCGGGGGTTTGGCTGATTCCACACGGTTGCTTGGATGCTATGGAGAAGCGCAAATCTCACGTGTCGAAGTGTAAGAAGCACTGCTTGATCTTGTCAGTTTCCTTCACTCTTTCCTTTTCCCGAGATTTTTCCTGCTCCCTTTTTCTTTATATTCTGATTGCCAGTCATTCTCTTCCGTGTTTCCGTTATATTCCCATTAACATGTTCTTCCCATGTTCCCTTTCTTACTTTCTGCAAAGCTTAGCGGCTTAGCGACCGACTATGCGACCCTCAGGCCATTGGCCCGCCCACACACACACTGTGTTAGTGAGTGGATGGCATTCTGGTCCCCGATGACTGAGGCCAGAAAAAAGTTGCAGGCTCTGTGTCTGTTCCCTCTGTCTACCAGGTGGGAGGCACAGGGAGCATCCAGCCTCGCACCCCGCGCGCGACCACACACCCGCGATCCTCGGGCATCTTCTTCCCTCAAGGGTTTTGTCTCCCTTGAAAGGCGGCTGTACAGGAACCGAATCGGCTTTACATAGGATCGCGGAGAAATAAAGAAAAAGGCCGTCATGGTTCCCCCCAGCAAAACAGGATACTTGCATCGTAGGCGCAAGGCTGCTCGGAGGGCCTCGGTGCGATTGCCCCCGGGTGGCCTGGGTTTGGGGAAGATCCCCTTCATATGGCGAGATAAGGTTTCGCTGCCAACTGGGGTCGTCGGTGAGTTGGAGCTGCCACCCCCGGTGTGTTCTCCCTTGCTGGAGCGCTCGCAAGGCTCTCCAGTCCAGGTTTGCTGCTTAATCTGCCAGCTGTTTTTGCCATGCTCTGTTTTCCTGCTTTGTCGTCTGCTGCTTACTGCCTTCCATGCTTGACGGGATAGCATGCCTGCTGGTGCAGCGTGTGCTTGTTGCCGCATGTGTGCGAGCTGCTTGCTTGCCACCCCATCATGGTCAGAGGCTGCGATGTCCTTGCACTGAATCACCTCCCCTGTGCCCGCTGTCACCCCCCTTGCTGCGACATAGTCTAAGCGGCATGGCTGGTGGAGCTGATTGTACGGGTGGTAGGTAGGAGTGGCAAGGTCCTGTGGTGGGAGACTGATGTCATGGGTTGCGAGCCACCCCAGGATCAGTTCCCCCCTGCCTGTGCATGCATACCCCCCTTCGGTGTTGTGGAGTGGTGGACGAAATGTCTCGTTGGGGCCCACCCCTATCACGAGCTTGCCCTTTGTGAAAGCATGGTTCCATGGCTGCATTTTGTCCTCGGTTTGTGGTATGGTGGCATGGTGAGGTATGTGGCCCGCCAGCACTCGCAGTCGGGTGTGGTTTGTGGTCAGGGTGGTGAGGAGTGCTCCCGGCACAACGGTTGTTTGCTGGTGCTTGTATTCAAGTTTGTGTGCAACTGCTTCTCCTCTGAACTCTCCCTCAAGCTTTCCGACAACAATCTGCCAATGATCTGACTCTGCATGTTTGCTCCCCGCATCTGTGATGATCTCTTGCAGCATCACAAACTGGAAGCGGTCAAAGTTTGCTTCCCCCCGAAAGTTCTCGAGGACCTGTAGGACATTGTTCGCCGTAAGCCCTCCGACGTTCCAGGAAAAGCCCCAAAACTGCGACTCAAGTGGCATCTCCCCCTGCCTTGAGCAGGTAGAGTGGTGGTGAAACTGGGGGTGCCCCCAGCAGTCGTCTCAGTTGATCTCCGCACGGAGCGGAGCGGCCCCCAAGCCGCGGAGACTTCCGCCGTGCTTTTGCGCAAGGCTTTGGCAATGGCTGTCACATCTACCCATCCCGGCCCGGCCTCCTCTGCAGTAGGTGGCCTTGCTGCCATGGTAGAACAGACTCGCACCGAGGTCCCCCCAGTTGTGAGCCAGGCGCTGCCACTGCTGTACTCGGCTTCCAGGCGGTCCTTCTCCCCCCCCAGCGAGAGGTACATCCTCGATCGTCGTCTGCGCTCTGGGGTCTGACGGCACTTTCCCCCAAGTTTTCGTCGACGGGGAGAATGGCATAGCCTCTGCGTATGCCGGGAACGAAAAGGGCCTGAGTGCTGATGGGTGCCTGGACGCTGCGCAAGATGTCTTCCACCGCTTGCTTGGTGTCGCGCGCCTCTTGCTCCGGGTCCCAGCCGCCAATGACGAGTGCGGGTTGACGCCCCGGCTCGCTCGGTGGGGCTGTGCTCCGCGCGGCAACGCTGGATCCCCCCCCCTCCCTTCTCCAAACGTTCCAGCCGTGTTTGCACTTCACGGTTCGCCTCCTGCAACCGTTTGAGAACGTCTTGCTGATAGTAGGTTGATGGTTTGCTGCATCTTGGTAGTGACCTGCGATTCCACGTTATCGACTCGGGCCACGACCGCTTTCACGTCCTCACGAAAGCCCCTCACAGGGTCTTGATTTCTCCACGGATCGCCTCTCTGATGAGGTCAAGAGTGATAGGCTGCCCTGGATCAGAGGGGGAGACGTCCCCAACTCTGCGCTTTTGAAGCGAGTTCCCCACATGGTCCACGTGTCGGGCCGACCCTCCTCCCCCACTGAGGCTGTGGCTGCCATTGTTCCCCCCCACGTAGGCAAGGAGCACTAGGTCGCCGATCTGCAAGGAGTATCACGATCTCACCGAAGTCACTCTGTATCTCCCCCGTCAGGTAGTTCAGAATCCCTCCGATGGCAAAGGGCGCGTGTAGGCCGCCGAACACGGTGTGCTAGCTGTTCGCAAAATCATCCCCCTGGGTCTGCAAACAGGCCGCCGACACCGTTGGGGACCGTACGTTACTATGTCCCCCTGCCGGACCCCCGCGATGAAGAGGAATAGACCCCCGATTGACGCACGCGAAGATGGCCCCCCTACGGGCAGCACGTTCTCTCTCTCAAGACAGCGCACCGGGTTTCACAGCCTCTCCCTCGCTGCTCTCCCTCACCGGGCTCGAGGCTTGAGCACTCACGGCCTTGAGCCAAAATGGCTACGGCTACTGTTCCCTCTCTTTCACTCTCTTTCGTTTCTCATTCTGTTCCCATCCCCTCCTGTTCCACCAAGAACTAGAAAGTGATCCATAACTAGCAGTTATAAGTAATCAAGTCAAAACAGTAATCGCCGTTGTCCAGGCAGGGTGGCTGCCTGTCCTGCTGGCTTGCTCCTCGTTTCTTCACAAACCGGTTGCGTTCGGGAAGAAGATGCGAGCAAACACGATTGGCACGATTCTTGCCAAGGTCTGCCTCCAACCAAACGTGCGCCACATTTCCCGTGTCTGGCAGGAGGCCAACTTACAGTAACCCGCACCATGACTGCAGAACTCGGAACTTCCACATCTGAACAGCTTCTTGCCCACTGCCCTTTCCAGGCTGAAGTCCTCCAGAAAGTCTGCCTGATTGCAAGCTGGGCAGAGCATGACCCTCAGGGGCCTTCTTTGTTCGAGCTCTACTTGAAGATGTGCCTGTGTAGTGAAGCCCATTCTGGCAGGAGCCGCACCTCAGGTGTCCAACACGCGGCTCGGAACTGCAACAGGTGGGATCATCAAAGAGGTGACGGCACTGGTGCTAACAACTGTTCAAAAGACATGAAAAGCACACCTGCAATTGCTGATAGCATAAGTCGCTGCCGCACCAGACCCTGTGATTTTCATTGAGGAAAGCTTTGGCTTAGCACGTGCAGCTTGTGCTTGCTCAGAGCCCGGCTATCCCTTAGCTGCCAAATCGATGGATAATTCAGCCTTGGACGTCAAACATGAACTCGTCAAACAAATGCAATTCCATTCAACACCATGCCGGAGAAACTCGAGATGAGCGAACGGAATATACTCCTGCACAAGAGCGGACACCCAAAGAACTAATGAAATGCTTCATCAAACACGAGACAGGAATGCCGGGTGTACACTATGCAAGGTCTGTACGCACGCTCCTTGTCAAAATGCAGATGGGGTGTTGCGAAGACTGTGAGGACGGAATCACAGCCTCTCGGTCAGAAACATTCACGAGAATGGCCAAACTGACCAAGGAGTGTACAATAGCAATTCAGCACTTGATGAACATGCTTTTTGCGGGTGGCGTCGGCAGGACCGGACGGGGCCCTTCATAATCAAAAGCCAAGCTGCCAGGAACTGTTGTCTCTTTGCTGCGCTTTTTCAGCACCCGTTCGCCGTGGCTGCCGTAAATTAGTTGCCGGATCGCAAGCTGGCTGAAACGGCTGGAAGAATCAAACACATACAGAGATAGTGGACAAGCCCAAACCGGAGAGGTTCGGAGATAAGTTTCGCGAACCTCGCAAGCGCGGTCTGCTTCTGAAGAGATTATTTTCTCATTGTCGGGGGGGTGGCGTTGGATTGCTTTCTGTTCCACGGAGGAAAGCCTGATCCCAGTTCAAAACAACCCGGCTTGTTTGTTCCTGCAGGACTTTATCAGACGGTCTACGGTATGGGTCGGCTGCGTCGGAGCGTCGAAAACTGTCTTGTCTATCTGCATGCCGTACTCTGTTGTCAAAGTGTGACAGCGTGTATTGCTAGACAAAGGAGGTGTAGATTCTATACATCGTGCTTTTGCGAGAAGTAAAGCGACAATGTTGAGCGACGTCGTCTCTGCTTTGTAGTGTTTACTACAAGCCTAGCAACTCCACTTCAGCATGAAACCATGTCATAGAGCCACGCATTTCGCGAAACAGATGTTTTCACGATCCAGAATCCAGTATATACAGCCGAAAGACGCCCGACCATAGTTCGGTCAGGCATTTGTCTGCTCATGAGGCCTTGGATTTTTGGCGATTTGGAGGACTAGTACAAGTTCATCCGTGAAACAGGGGCAGGAGGCTTCCGACAGTTCTAGCAGAGTGGTGCGAGGGATGGGTTCTGGTTCAGCATAGGAATGACGCAATGACTGCGCTAGCCGCAGGCAAAGCCTGTAAGGAAGAGGCAGGCATCTCTACGTCCGCCTTTCGGGAGTTGCAGATTCTTCAATGCGGGTCGGGGTTGTGTGCACGGTGGTCCGCCGGCTGCGCATCAGCGTTCGACACGTGGCGCGGCAAAAAGATGCCGGAGGTGCAAAAGCTAGGCCAAAAGTTCGCAATGTCACGATAGATCAGCTCCCCGGGGCAGTGGAGCAGCGGCTGCACTTGACCCTAACATGACATTTTAAAGATTGATCCCCAACATGCTGACTTTCTCGTGTCCGGGACGCTGAAACCTGCATGCAAGCCGACGCTCTGCCTGATGCGTTCTCAGTGCAAGTCGCACGGAGACCCACCACAATCCCAAACCGCACACAGCCTTGGCTGGAGAAAGTCCTGACGCATACGAAGATGGTGTCTTTGTCAAGGGCATTGTCAAAGACCTCGATTCAAAGCAGCAGAAGGCTAAGGCTAGCAAATTGTGAGAGCTGCCTCATCCAAAGTCTCGTAGCCTGTCTCCGAGCTGTTTGCTTGCGGTCTAGTTGGCTCCCAACCTCAGACAGCCATTGATCGCAAGAAGAAAGGATTACGGACTGTTCAAGCTCGACGGATAGTTTCCAGCTTCTGTGGCCGCTGCAGAACGAACGTGCACAGTGCCCATTCATGTCTGCGGTGTCTCAATTTTGAAGTCGGCGGAAGATCGACTGATTCAGAGCAAAGTGTTTCCGAAAGAATCGTCGTCTCCGTACCCCACGAAGGTGGATACGATCCGGAAACCGGGGATTGTCCAGCACAGAGCGACTCAGATGATCCTTTAAAAACCTGACGCTTAATCCAACAAAGGATTCACGGCCGCTCGGAAACAACTCTTGCACGCAGTCTGTCTTTTGCGGATGGTGGTGCCGAAGCCTCTCCGAGGACTTCGACTTTCTGGGAAAACTTCTCGAATCTTGCGAAACATTTGAGCTCAACACAGTAAGTCTCAACCCTTCGTTTTGCAAACCTCGGGTCGACAAGGTCCCTGCAGGATAAAGTTCACTCGCCGCCCGCACCTTCCAAGAGCGCTCGATCTTTACTTGATCTTGGAGCCAGAAACCCCCGTACCCAGCTCATCTTCACCCATTCGCGACTACCGTGTGCTGAACCGGGCTTACGGAGTTATGGGCCCTGGGCTACCTGCATCTGTTAAAGCTCAGAGCGACACCAGCACAGAGTACTGGAAATCCAGCCAAACTGACGACGGACGCCACTACCTTAATCCAAGCACTGGCAAGTAAAGGAGACCATCGGACGGAGCATCACGGAGCAACCTGAGCATGGGGCACGAACCTTTTGTACAGAAGATGGTACGGAGGTCGGAAAGCAACGGGTTGCAAAAGCCGGGAGTCCCTAGATCATGCAGCCATCTCTGCCATCTCTTTGCGGGAAGCAAGTGCAATTCCACGCGGTGACCTGTATCAAGCGAGGCTGTCCAGGACTGAGCAGATCTGCACTCACCTCCGCAAATCACAGCACACCACATCTCACATCCCGTGGCGGTTGCTGGTGCTCTGTTCGCACGCCGCAGCCTGTAGCGAAGCTGCGCCTCTGGCATTTGCCTTGCTGCGTCCAGGTCTACAGTAACTAACCGGGAGAAGCTGCGTCCCAGGCTGGCACCCATGGCTGTCCAGCATCCACGACGAAAACCTTGAGTGAAACTGTCTGACAATAATTTGAAACTTTGCTCAAGATCAAAGCCAAAAGACTTGCATGGTTTGTGAGCAACAGACGTTAGTTGTTTTTGGAGAATATCCAGGCTCTTGCCAGCCTTGCTGTGTTTCTTACCGGCGTCCCCTTGTTCAGCTGCCCATCAGATCAGACATTTGGCAGATTCTTCATTTGCGTGCTTTGCCCGTGTTGCTGAGAGCCTGTGGGGCTACCTTCAAGGCATTCGGGCCTGTCAAAAATCTCATCACTATGTACTGCTCTGCCTTCTTGACACTGATAGCAACTCATAGCCCCTGCACTGTGTGGCTGGCCAGGACCAACAGAAACGCTCTGACTGCCGTGATGGACATCTGTTGCCATGGCAAGGCGGTTTGGCATTTACTGACACACCTCGCTCTTTTTTTCCGACTTGATAAAGCTGTATCTGCAGCCGCCTGCTTGCTCAACTGCCCAGGTTGGGATGGGCATCTCCCTTGCACATGAAAACTTATACAAGACTGAATGGCTTTATGTTCACGGTCTCGTGCTGAAATACCCGCTGGAAACATCCATGTACAGCCTGTGAAGCTAACAGGAACAGATGTTTCTGGCACGGATGGATGGGACTATTCAGGTGGGCCATGATCCCAAGCAGAAGCCATCTTTTCCATTTGCAACAACACTGTCAGTTAACTTCGTCAAGCCTTTCCATGCTTCATGATTGTCTCCAGTGTTCCCATACCGCGGCGATCCTGCTCTTGGGGAACGGAATATTGGACCTGGCAAATCCAGCTTTTGTCCGCAAGGATGCCCATGCTTCCACAACACAGCCTCTCGACCCTCTGTCCTCCAGTTTGAACACCTGGAGCTCGTCGACTTATAGCTGAAATCTTCTCAAGCACTAGGGACGGTTCGACCGAGGCGACCACTTGCAACAAACGTAGATGATGGCCATCGCATCGCTCACAATGGTCTCAGACAGACGATAGAAAACAGCCTGAACAAAGGAACGATCAGTCGTTGAGTGGTCATCTTTTCTGGAATCTAGGGTGCCAAATTCTATGGTACTGCTAGTTCTCTCCTCCCGGCGCACATGTATAGACGACACGCTAAAGCAACAGTCGCAAGAATATGTTGGATCATCCATCAAATCCAAAGATCATGACCGACGCAACACGGAAAGCCGCCACCGCCTCGTTGTGACCACAAATGTGGCAATCGTAGTCGTAAACCTGAAGAGGCATGCAGTTGCAAGCAGTTGCTGCGCATGGCATCTGTGCAAGGTGGGCTTACCCGCGGCAAGGTCGGGTCGTGGATTACGTCTGGCATGACGATGATGGATTCCTCCGACAGCTATGAACTACCAAACTCGCTAACAATTAACTTGATCGTCTTTGTCTGCAACACGCATATCCAGAAGCGCTTTCCCTGTCGCTTGCCTTGGCCACGAAGAGCACATCATGCCGAAATACACACAAGTCGTCAATCCGCTTAAAGCTGCTGCCAGGATCACCTGCATCCTGACAAGAAGATGTCGAAGGCCAACGAATTTACAACACGTCTACTAAACAAGCATGCGAGATCATTCATACTGGATCACATCGCCTTGTTACCGGCTGCTGCGATGTGAATGCAGCTTCTAAACGGCAAACTCTCCATTAGCGAACTTCTGCAACCGGCCTGTTTGTCCATGGAGACTTCCTTGCGAAAACAGAACGAATCCATACAAGAGGCATGTGTACACTGTCTTACCATGTCCACTCCAACTGCACAAATCTGAAAACTACTTTGCATGCCTCCACAAAGCCGCACACTTTGCAAGTGAAGACTAGCTCCTCTCAATCGCAAAGCTGCACGGCTGGCGTGAAAATACGAAGCGTTAAGACGGTCCATCTTCTCGTTCTTTCCCATCATCCAGTTTGAATTGTTGCAACCAGGACCTTAGCAGGTTGTGCATTGCATCTATTTCGCAAGACCAACACTCGTTCATGATTCATGCCGATGCTGGGACATCGGCAAAAACGAAGTGTAGACTTGTACGACGCCATCGTGGTTGCAACGTGTTATTCAACGAAATGACACGCGAGCATGTTATCTGCTCAAAACCATGCATGTAAACATGGGGTGGCAGCGGTGTGAAATGCGTGCAACTTCCTCGCAAACTCTAGCCCATGACATCTGGAATCTTGAGCGGCAGTGTTTACAAAGCTTGTAACGATAACTGAAAACTTTGCTTCACGCCAATCAGCAATGTATCAATGAGACCTTAAGGCTTTGCCATGACTTTCAAGATACAAGCACTCATGGTCCAATTGTCGTCAAGAGTGCTGACACGAGAAGCAGGGCGAACACTCAGTCAAACACGAACAGCCAACAACTCCGGAGCGGCATGAGATGATTGGCGATTGGATTTTCGTCACAAAAGCCCAAAAAGCAAGAACTTAAATTCAAATTTGCTGCTTATCTTCGCACACCACCAGCCAAGTATCTCCAGCAACGTCCGCACCGTGCTCGAGGCTTAAAAAAGCTGGGCAGGAGAAAAACATTGTTTGACATCATACGGGACAAGCTTCGCGATATCAGAATGCTCAAAATAGTTTTGTTTGGCGTGATGCGGCCTCGATGCGACAAACGCATAGTCTGCGGAAATGTGCAATAATGCAAATTAAAGCTGTACAGTGTGGCAAAGCCTGTGTGGGTGAAACGTGTGTGCCCGCTCGCAATACGCACAAGCAGTCTATCGGCGTCTGCGAAGGCATTTGTTGCGCTGATGCAAAGCGCGACAGGCGGGTTGCGGAGGCTTCGTGGCTGTTCGTGCGCGAACCAGAAGCTGAGCCACGCGAGAACAAACTTGCTGTCCTGCTTGAGATGGACTTCAGAGCGGGTACTGTAGGGTTTGCGAGTCTAACCCATTGGTGCTTGTGCGATGGCGGAACACGGAGTACATCAGCTTTGCATGTGATTTTAAGAGACCCTACTTCTAGGAGCCGTGCGTTGCGTGGCAGCCAAAATCCGCAGGTGAGTCTTTGTAAAGGCGGGACATGTGCGGACTGAGCGTCGTCGCCCAGCTCCGAAGAAGAAGGCCGCGGGGCACTTTGCCGGATTTCTGTAGCTGTGCAATAGCTTGTGGAGCTTGCTGTGCATGAGCTCTACGGGTTCGGTATGCGAAGGCAGAAAGTCCAGCCACACCAACTGATGCTGCGGGCCAACCTGTGCTTTTTTGCAGGTGATAGGCGTGTGCAGTGCTGCAAGCAGTGCTTCAGATCGTGGTTTATTTAGGCTTGCTCGAGGCGGCGCGGGTCCAAGTCTGCAAAGGTGTCGATATTATTGTGTGGCGCGGGTGTCCAAAGGCCGCTGCTGGGCAGGTCTGAAAAAACCTCGTCGGGACTCCTTCTTTGAGTATGGCAATAAGACCTGCATCCGGGTCTTGAATTGCTTGAGCTGCTGTGTGTGCGATGCTCCCCCTGGCGCGGACGCTGGCTTATTGGCTTATTACATGGCAAGGCAAAGGCTTTAGGGATGGTTGTGGGACTTCAGATGGCTGCGTCGGCGGGTTCGGGATTTAGGGGCTTGTGCACGGCTTTGCGGCAAGAGATCGTCCCGCTCGTGCGAAGCGAAGTTCATGACGGGGTTTTTCTGGTTTGCGCTTGCATGCTGGGCGGCTGTTTTCCGCAAGGCTCCCCCGAGGGCAGTTTGATTTATGCTCGTACTTGCCTTTCTCGTTTGTGCAGGAACCCTTGTTCCATCTGACGTAAAACGAGCGGGGCCGGCTGCTCCACAAAGCGTGGTTTCTCTCAGCGGCGAAGCTCCTTTTGCAAGAGGGCCAGGTGGGCTTTGCTGCTCGTCTCCTCCTGCACGAGCTTTTGCATGGCCTCTAAGCTCTCCTTGTACTCTTTTCTATGCTTGTCGATCTTGGTCTGCAGTCAAGGTCCTTAGCCTCTGCGCTCCGAGCCTGAATTTTCGCGAGGCTTCCGTAAGCTGCTGCTGTGGCGTGAGCTTCGGCTCCGTTGCTTGCGCTGCTTGCTGGATCTCTTCCGAGAGCGTCTCAAGGCACATGTTGCACAAGTCGCCCAAGTCTTTAGAGGGCGCTTCTGGCTTTTGGACTCCCAGCTTTTCCAAAAGGCCGTGTTGCACCGGGTCGGCAGTCTCCCACAACTCCCTGACAGCTTGTTGGTACTCCTCGCTAGCCGCCTCCGCTAGAGCTTTTGCCTTTCCTTTTCCCTTGCCTTTCTTGGGTCCTCCTCCCAGGCCAGGGGCTGGAGGAGAGGTGTTGCAACGAGGGGAACCCTTGGGGGGGTTTCGGGAAAGTTGGTTGCAGCACTTCCTGGAGCGGAGCGCCGCAGGCGGGCCGCCGAGCGAACAAAATGTGTCTTTTTTGGCAAACCGTTCGAAAACACTCTGGAAACCTTCCAACCCTTCTAAAGCCTCTTAAAAACCCTTAAAACCCTCAAAAGCCTTCTCAAAACATTCTCAAAACCTTCTCAAAACCTTTTCAAAACCTTCAAAACCCTCTTAAAAGCCTTCAAAATCCTCCAAAACTCTCTAAAACCTTCTCAAAACCTTCAAAACCTTGAAAAACCTCTTACAAACTTTGGGTGGCTCAGGAAGCTTCAAGGCTTCAGGGGCTTTGGCTGGCTTCAGGGGGGCTTCAAGGCGGCTTGAGCGGCTTTAAAGGACTTTAAAAGGGCTTTGAAGAGGGCTTGTGGTGTGGCAATTGTGGTAGTACCAGTAGACTCGCAAGCTCTCTTTTCAGTCCAAAGTGCGCACAACCCGCTCTTCGTGCTGTACTTGAAAGCAAACATGTCCGGCCATCTGACACTGCCCGTATCTCTTTGAGACTTTCGCTTGTTTTCCCGCCTTCGAGCCACAACAGTTTGAGCCCCAAAAGGAAGGTTAGGGAGTTTAGGGAAAATTAAGGCGAGCAACCATTACCACAGCACTCAGTAGACTGCGCACGACGAATCTTTTCAGAGAGTGTGGACGTCGAAGCCGCTCCGGATGTCACGCTGCAGCCCACTTCGAGGCCAGCACAAAAGTCACTCACCCAGGTGTGGGCGGGCGGGTACTTGAAAATCATTCTGCCAGCCGAGTCTTCGGCGGACATAAAGTCATCTGAGCTCTCCAGAATCTAGCATGCAATCAGAACAAGCGCAACAGCAACTGCAAGTCGTTGAAATCATAAAAGAGTTTCCAGGAAAACTTTCTTTCACTCCAGCCCCCCCCTTCGAGGCTCTCAAACAAACTTATGTGGCACGCCAAGAAGGTTTGTTTTCCCGCCTTCGAGCCACAACAGTTTGAGCCCCAAAAAGGAAGGTTAGGGAGTTTAGGGAAAATTAAGGCGAGCAACCATTACCACAGCACTCAGTAGACT